TCCTCAGGAAGTCCAATTTACCTTCCCAGTTTGTATTCCAACCAGCCACCACTGCCATTGTTTCGTAGAATTTAAAAAGCACGTATTTTCAAACTGGCGACCTAATTGCAAGAGCAGTGTCAGATTGACCGCTCTCTCACATGCTTCAGGGACTTGTCATAGTTGGGCCAAATGGTAATGCAATGGTTGGTTTAATGACCAACACGAACGAGCCCTCCCATGTCTACCATAGGCACGGGCTCAGATCAATCAGGAACTGCATAAAGATCACACTATACATAGTGACGAGGTTAGCTGACCCCTCGGCAGATGGCTGTCCGAACCACGACCATCAGTGCATCTTGATAGTTAGAAAACTTTACCAGGGCAATCAGCCTCACTGCCTCTTCTCGTTCTTGTTCTGTACCAGTTGCATTCTGAAGCATGCCCCCTGCTAAAGAGACTTACTTAAGTAGTTCATATTTTCCGAGACCTTCTCAGGATGCATGCCGCGCCTTTTTGGCACCGGTTTATTTCTGACGCGATTGCAGTTCCTTTTTAATGGTCCCCTAGTGGCACTCACAATAGGGGAATATATTGGTCGAAAAAGCTTTGACTGGAAATATACCAGCAATATCAATGAGGTAAGGAAACAATTATCTGTCACTAGGGTCATAAAACAGGAGATTATGATATAGCGTCCCTGAAATTGAGGCTCTTGTACGTTTACTGTCAATGTCATAACAACTATATATTTGCCCTAACATATGTGCCCACTTTTGGGCCGATTTCTTTTCGGCCGGACGCATAGATATTAACAGTCTCCATGCGCTATGACCTTATCTCACCCCTTTTAATCAGACTTCAGGAGGCAAAACAGACGCCGCGAGGGGATAATTCTGTCGTGTTTTATTGCATAGCGTAGTTTCTCACTTCACTGCACAGACATCGCAAAATGCGACGCATTACTGCGCACAGCCCAGTTTGTCCTAAGAATATTACATCTCGGAGTACGTAAGCGGTGCTCAATAATACCCTCATCTAAACGGAATCCTCTCAGTTCTCGCATGGATCACCATTTATATTTTAGCTGGTCAAATACTGGTAAAATCTCTTTCAGTCTAACACGAATTCTAACATGCTGGTTTAGGTTTAGTCATAGAATACAACTGCATTTGCTGAAAATATTTATTTATAAGCACTTCTGAGTTTAAAATTTGTCATTGACTCTGCATTTTAGTAGACGCACAGGTCATTATAATGGGTACTGAGAAATTTCTTAAAGGTCTTTGGAGATGAGACGGCAGTAAGTATCCTCTGACAAAAATTCTGTATTACTCATGGGTTATCCTATTTCTCTTCTTACTTTAATAAATCTTCTGCCTTATCCAGCCTTTGGGCTTAACGTATAAAATAATTAAACACACACTGCAAGCAATGTTGGGTAGATATGTGATCACTTACTTACTTATAAAAAGGTATATCCTTAAAATGTCAGGCAATTTATTTTCAAGAATGCACATTTGAGAAGGTTCGTTAAAATATTCACAGCACCTCCAGTTAAGTAGGCGCTCGCTAAAGCTTGTTTAGTAGCAGCTTACTTTTGGCCGAATAACGCAGCCAACGGTCGAGTTCACTGCCGGTCAGACTCTACTTATTCGCGAGGAAAATGTTCTTGGAAAATATAAAAGCCGTCCCGTAATGGCTTTTTAAAAAATTATTTTTTAAACTTACGTTCTCTTGGGTCATTTTGATGAGTAAAATCGTAAAAACCTGAAGCATTTTACATCCAGAGTACAAAAACTAGTATTTACTCTTATTAATATTCAGTGTATTTTGTTTTTATTTTTGATCAGAATGACACCCCAAACCCGCAAGTTGTACCTTTGCGAGGAGAAGACCCAGGACAAGGGTCCGACTGTGGACTCTGCTGATCTCGAGGAGCGTATAGCAGCGCGACGTTTGCGCATTGAAAACCGTGTGGCCCAACAGAAGTGAGTTTTCTGCGCCTTTTCTCACCAAAATCCCCCCTCCCCTTAAAAGTCCAGAATTCTTTGACCAGAAGGTCGAGGACGACGATGATGGCACAAAGCTGCCTGAGATCAGCAAAGAACAGGTGGAAATGAGTATGCAGCGCATTGTGAACCTCTGTCGAAACGGCAATGCCTTCATATCTAACATCAAGGTGGCCTGTGATGCAAGAGAAAACCTCCGTAGACTGGAAGAGGATGAGCTCAACCTTATTCGCACCC